TTTTTTTTTTTTATTCTTCGTTGGAATTTGTTGTTGGTGGTGGTGATGATGCTGAGGGATTGAACCTAGGGGCACTGTACCATTGAGCCATATCTCCAGCCCTTTTTATTTTTTGAGACAGAGCCTTGTTTAGTTGCTGAGGCTTCCTTGAACTTTCAATCTTTCTGTCCCAAGTCTTCTGAATTGCAGGGATTACAGGGATGCACCACTGTGAGCAGCTTAAGGTTGGAATTTTTATTAGGAATGTCTACTGAATTTTATTAAGAGCGTTTTCAGCATTTCATGAACATGATTTTCTTTCATTTGTTGATGGAGTGCATAGTTGATCAACAAGATAGACGTGATATTGTCTACAGTTGGCTTCATGTAGTAAATTTCTACAGAACAAGTACCTCTAACTAAATTCTTTGTGTTCTTTTCTTTCTGGTCTTTGGCCAGGAGCTCTTCAGTCTTGATCTTTAGATGATACTAGTAAGACTCCAATGGAAGCCTCTTAGCTCCAGTTGCCAGTTATCCGAGGGTTTGGTGACTTATGTTAAGTTGGAGTTGAGAATAAAGACAAAGGAAGGCATTTTCTATTTCCAGAATCCTCCTGTTCCTTCTTTGTTTTGTTTTGTTGTTGGTGGTGGTTTTAGTTTTTTTTAGTTGTTTTTTTTTTCTTTTGAGAGAGAGAGAGAGAGAATTTATTTATTTTTTAGTTTTCAGCGGACACAACATCTTTATTTGTATGTGGTGCTGAGGATCGAACCCAGGCCGCACGCATGCCAGGCAAGCGCGCTACCGCTTGAGCCACATCCCCAGCCCCAAGTTTTTTGTTTTTTTTTTTAAATTTTTTTTTTTTATTGGTTGTTCACAACATTACAAAGCTCTTGACATATTTCATACATTAGATTGAAGTGGGTTATGAACTCCCAATTTTACCCTAAATGCAGATTGCAGAATCACGTCGGTTACACATCCACAATTTTACATAATGCCCAATTAGTAATTGTTGTATTCTGCTACCTTTCCTATCCCCTACTATCCCCCAAGTTTTTTTATTTTATGTAAGTATGTCTTTCTGTTCCTTTTAAGTCAGTGTTTAATAGGCAAAATTTACACCAAACTACTTCTACAACAGATTTTTTTCCCCCAGCTCTTTTTATTTTTAAGACAAGTTCTTGTTAAGTTGCCCAGGCTGACCTGAAACTTGGGATTCTTCTGTCTAAGCCTCCCAAGTAGCTGGAATAGCAGGCTTACACCACTGTGCTGGGCTCTGAGACCTTTTTAATAAAGAGAAAATAATGAAATAGCAATGTATCTTGATGTTTTTCCTTCCTTCCATCCTTTTGGCCTTTTTTCTGAAACTAATCTGCATTGTTTTCTTCAGTGATTGTCAATTTCAGTGGAAGGAACATTTATGCCATGAAGCTTTTATTCAGAACCTAAACTAGTAGCAAGCTCATATAACCAATATTTACATTTCTAATTGTTTATTCAAAGGAGACTATAAAGGCCCAGATGCAATTTTACAAGTCTGGAAAAATAAATTATTAGTTATGATTTCATTATCAAATTATTATGATTTCATTATAAAGCAGATTGATTTACTTGGCAGTGATTAAATAATACTTACTCACAGGAACCTGCCTGTGGATGCCCAACAATAAGAGGGGTTTGATTTATCAAGAACAGTGCTGGATGTGAAGATTGAAATCCTGAGTACTAGTCTTAGTGCTCTAACTAGCTTCCTTGAACTCAGATGGGATTCTGTACCTATGACCATTCATTTCCTCTTCTCTAAAATGAGGTTCCTGAATGATCCTTCTTTAAATTTTAACATTGTGGAAAATCAGATACTATTGGTCCTCTATATCCACAGATTACATATCTGTGGGTTCCATATCCCCAAATTTAACCAACTAGAGATTGAAAGTGTTAACTGAAAAAAGTTGCTTCAGTACTGAATATTTACACACACTTTTTTTCTTAACAATATTTTTTAAACAACATAATAGTTAAATAGCATCTACATTATATCAGTTTACAAGTAATCAGGATACAGGAAGATTATGTAGGTTAAATGCAGATACTTCACCTTTTTATAAGGAACCTGAGCATCTACAGATTTTGGTGTCTCACACAGTTCCCAGAACTAGTCTCCCTTAGATACTGAGGGACCATTGGAGTGTTTGAGCCCTGCCTCAAAATACAGGCCATGATTCCAGTGTTTCACAGCTGAGTTTTTTTGTTTTTTTTTTTAAATACATCACAGCAGAATGCATTACAATTCTTATTACTCATATAGAGCACGATTTTTCATATCACAGCTGAGTTCTTTTGCTGTCTGGTTCTATAGGAAATTAGGTTGTTGTGAACTTTCCGGTGCATTGCATGCTCCAATAGAGCAATTAACTATAGTAGATCCCTTTACAGTTTTATTTGTGAAAATAATTTTAAACCATGATGTCTCTATGAAGTCATTTCTCCTCTAGGGAGTTCTTGTAAGTAATGTCTGTCTAGGAAGCTTTAAAGGGTTTTTGTTTTTTTGGGTTTTTTTGGGGGGGGAGTGTTTGTTTGGTACTGGGGATTGAACCCAGGGACACTTAACCCAATGAGACAGAGTGTCATTGAGTTGCTTAGTTTTGCTAAGTTGCTTAGGCTGGATTTGAACTCATGATCCTCCTGACTTAGCTTCCTGAGTCACTGGGATTACAGGTATGACCACCACACTTGACATAAAAGGTTTTGAACTTACTGGAATGTAAATGTAGAGCTGGGCTTGTAGCTCAGTGATAGAATGTTTGCCTAGAACATGTGAGAGCACTGGGTTTGATCCTCAGCACCACATAAAAATAAATAAAAGTATTATATCCATCTACAACTAAAAATGTATCTTAAAAAAAATGTTGGGGCTAGAGTTGTAGCTCAGTGATAGAGCACTTGCCTTGCATGTATGAGGCCCCGGGTTTGGTCCTTAGCACCACATAAAAATAAAGATATTGTGTGTGGGAGACCAACCTTACACGTGACTGGGTCACACTCCCCGGCTGGGTGCTGAGGCGCTCAGTCACAGAAATGTGGTCGGTGTCTTGTGCATGGGTATGTCTTGCTATAGCCCCATGGATGAAGCTATGCTCACCTGTTCCTTTGTAATATAACCCCTTGCCCTGTTTAGGATAGAATCTTCCATGGAAGTGCCTTGTGTGTGTCCCCTTCTCTTACTGTGTCCTTGGGTATGGCCTACCCAGGTGTCAGTCATCTGCTGACAGTGGACATCATGAAGATACTCAGCCCCCTGAAACCAGACCCCTTGCCTCATTTGAGTAGCTTCTCCTCAATTAAAGGGGTCAGCACGTGCTCTCTCTCTCTTTCTGCGGACCTTTAAGGTCAGAGGAACGTCACAGCGACCCCAAAGAAAAAGGTATTTGTGTCTCCTGTGTGGTTATTTCGTGCAGCCCAGTTAGCCCAGTTTAACTGGAGTGACCCCTGAGCCTTTTAGTCGCGAGAGCAGAAACCCGGCAATTGTGTTCATCTGCAACTTAGAAGAATTTTTTTTTTTAAGTGTATTGAGCTTGATCATATTAAAATTGCTGACTTTTGCCATGCAAAAATGTCATATACCTTAACCTGATTGAGTATTTCTTGTCTAAAATGCTTGGGACCAGAAGTGTTTCCTATTTTGGAGGTTTTCGAGTTTTGGCATATTTGCGTAGTCTTTGCCAGTTGAACATCCCTAATCTGAAACTCTGAAATCCAAAATGCTCCAAAATATAAAACTTTTTGAGCATTGTATCAGTACTCAAAAATTTGAAATTTCATAGCATTTAGATTTTTAACCTTCACATTAGGGATGCCCAACCAGCAGTTAGAATTATCATATCATTACTTGAAAGATATTCCAACCTAAAAGCAGAACTGTTTTTGTATTAGGCACCTGTTGCTTATTCAGAGGGCTGTTGTTGTAGCCAAGGGTTGGTAGAGTGCTCACCTAATGTGTGTGAGGCACTAGGTTTAATTCTCAGCACTGCAGGTAGGTAGGTAGGTAGGTAGGTAAGTAGATAAAATAAAGGTCCATCAACAACTAAAAACAGTTTTTAAAAAGGTTCAAAGATATCTAGAGGAAAAGATATTAAAATTACACCATTTCCATAGCATCCAACTCCTGATTGTCATTTATGACATTACCAGAAGAACCACAGTATAACTCCAGTTTATATTGTTTTAAATAGGCAGAAACAAGATTTTTTATGTGTGTCATGATACAAACACTGATTTGCACCATGAAACTTCCTGTAATTTTCAAGCCTAGGTGGAAATAGAACATTTACTAATTCATTTTTTGTATATTTGTGTACTGCTTCTCAGTAAACTAGAAGCAAGAAATGGTATCTCAGAACTAAAGGATAGTGTTGAATATGGGAACAGTGTAAATTTTCTTCTGTGTGTGTGTGTGTGTGTGTGCTTTTTGTAATATCAGATTGGGGAAATTTTTCTTTATTTTTATCTTGAAAAACTGATTTTAAAGTTTCTTAAAACTGGTGAATATCCAGTGAATCATGAGAGAGAAAATGCTGAATGTTTAACTGTTCAGCTAGAACTTGTCATGCAGCTGAATTATGATTTCTCACTTGCCGTATACAGTTAAGATACTTCTTTAATATTCTTTGTTCCTTGGAAAAATGCTAAAAGAAAATAGGAATTTCCCATTATTGCCTTTGTGGAAATGTATTCATATCTAATTCCTGACTCACTGCCCTGGCTACTACCCGTTTTCCTTGCTACAGATTTTCCTTGCTTTTCTGCTTAAGAGAGGGATTCCAGACAGACGAGGAAACAGCTTTTAAATGCTGCACTGCGGGTGTACTAAGCCATTCCCTCACTGTGCAGTCTGGAAATCCAGGAGCACCTCTCTGGCAATGCATTCTAATGAGTTGCTAAAGATGCCAGAGCATGTGCATGCATTTTCTTTCCCCTCCCCCTTTCTTCCTTTTTCCAAGCCCCCTCTTCTCCCTGTTTCCCCTCCTTCTCCTTTATCCCCTCCCTCTGTGTCTCAGTTCTGCAGTACACAGGAGGGAAGCACACTCCTGCATTGCAAGGCTTTCTCTTAAGGATGTATTGTGGCTTTTGTTTGGATTGCAGCGTGCAGACTTACAGGTAACACTGAAATTGGGTTAAACAGTTATATTCTATTAAATTGTTTTCAGATGTAAAATATTACATTGGATTTCATGGAAAAAATAAGTTAATCTTGGCTAATTTTACTAGTGAATGTAATGAAATGTTTTCAGAATTACCATAAGCAGATTCTATAAACAACTCAAATGAAAGAAAATGGGGGTAGATCGATCTGTGATTGCTTTTGTTTTATGTTGATCTTGAAAGCTTGGTGTGGTGTTGCTTCTCTTTAGAGTGTTAACTGTGGGGTGTTATCGATTGTAGCCATGATAGTGATATCAGAAGGGGTGGAGTGGGAAGGGTGACAGCAGCCTGGGCTAGCTAGGTTCTTCGATTTAGGGCACTGGATGCAAATGTAAATTGCTTTCTCCTTTTCTTCTATCAGCTGTTCAGAGGAGACTCATTACAACTCCTGCTGAAGCTCCTAATCTTCCTCCCTTCTTCTAGTCCTTTTCTCTACCCTAACTTGGCCTGAAGACATTGTCCCCAAAATTTACCTTTCTCCCTTGGTGCTATATGTATGGTGAACTTGGCACTATGGCCTCGTCTGGGACTGGCCAGACGACGGTTCTTGGCTCTCCTTATTCCAAGAAGGATTTAAAGGGAAATTGCACTGCAGGCAATGCATCAGAGCAGCAGCATCGGGAGCTTGGGGACTGAGGCTCTTCTGGCATTATTATACACATGCACAGCTGACCGCAATGACAGCAGCTGCTCCTTTGAACTGTTGGCAGCAGCCAAGCGGCAGCATGAAGTGAGAGATCACTCCTGAGCTCAAGATGAACTCCACCTTGGATGGTAATCAGAGCAGCCACCCTTTTTGTCTCTTGGCATTTGACTACTTGGAAACTGTCAGTTTTTGCCTTTTGGAAGTGCTGATTATTGTTTTTCTAACAGTATTGATTATTTCTGGCAACATCATTGTGATTTTTGTATTTCACTGTGCACCTTTGTTGAACCATCACACTACAAGTTATTTTATCCAGACAATGGCATATGCTGACCTCCTGGTGGGGGTAAGCTGCTTGGTCCCTTCTTTATCACTCCTTCACTATTCCCTACCATTAGAGGAGTCCTTGACTTGCCAGATATTTGGCTTTGCAGTATCAGTTCTGAAGAGTGTCTCTATGGCTTCTCTGGCCTGTATCAGCATTGATAGATACATTGCCATCACTAAGCCTTTAACGTATAATACCCTGGTTACACCCTGGAGACTACGCCTGTGTATTTTCCTGATTTGGCTATACTCCACCCTCATCTTCCTGCCTTCCTTTTTCCACTGGGGCAAACCTGGATATCATGGAGATGTCTTTCAGTGGTGTGCGGAGTCCTGGCACACAGACCCATACTTCACCTTGTTCATCGTGATAATGTTATATGCCCCAGCAGCCCTCATTGTCTGCTTCACATATTTCAACATCTTCCGCATCTGCCAACAGCATACAAAGGAAATCAGCGAAAGGCAAGCCCGCTTCAGCAGCCAGAGTGGGGAGAATGGGGAAGAACAGGCCTGTCCCGATAAGCGTTATGCCATGGTCCTGTTCCGCATCACTAGTGTATTTTATGTCCTCTGGTTGCCCTATATTATCTACTTCTTGTTGGAGAGTTCCACTGGCCACAGCAACCGCTTCGTATCCTTCTTGACCACCTGGCTTGCTATTAGTAACAGTTTCTGCAATTGTGTCATTTATAGTCTCTCCAACAGTGTCTTCCAAAGAGGACTTAAACGCCTATCAGGGGCTGTGTGTACTTGTGCAAGTCAGACCACTGACAAGGACCCTTATACAGTTAGGAGCAAAGGCCCCCTTAATGGATGTCATGTCTGAAATGGCTCAATCACTAGTTCACTAGGAAATCGGGGACAGAATAATTTGACTAAGCAATAGCACACAAGTGATCTATCCAAATATCTTTTTTTTAAGTTTGCATGAAATTTTTTCCTAAATGTGATTTTGAATCAGAAGAATCAGGATCATGAGGATAAATTTCTCTTGTTCCAGTTTTTGAAATGTCATGGAAATGACTACATTTCTCAGATTTAAAGGAATAAAGCCATACCTAACACCTCTCTCCAGCTGGCGTGACTGAACCTGGGTGTGAAAAAGCGTCAGCATTTTAAGTCATCATTCTCTTGTCACTTTTCTAGATTCTTTCCAGCATTTGGCCTTCCTGTGCAATTGATATCTTTCAACAGGGAATATTAAAACATACTGATAAATTAACATGGATTTAATTTTTTTTAAAACACTGCAAGTTTCAACACTGTCATTTAGACAGCCAAATGTTTTGCATTATATTCTCTTGAGAGAACTCTTAATGGGGTGAATAATGTGAACAATTAAACATTACTTTTAAAATTTTGCAATGACCCACAGAAGTAAAAGTGCAACCAACTCATAGTTTATGAAAAACTGAGCTACTTTTTTGTGCTATACTTCACAGAGATTTTGATACATGTGCATTTAAGTAATTGATGCAATATTTTGCCCAGGTGTTTGTGTATATTGAGAATATTTGAATTGAGTTAGATTTCTCTTTCTTGACAAAATGTATTTCAGTGAGCTAAAATTAATTGCAAGCAGTTGATAACGGTGAAAATATATAAAAATGTGACTTTAGTGTTTTTTGTTCTTTTTTATCCAAACACTTTTGAAATATTAGAACAGCAAGCAGAAGAGTGCCATAGGTAATCAAGTCAAAATATATTATTGGCTGCAGGTAGGGCTCAGTGGTAGAGTAACATGGTCAGTATATGCAAAGCCCTGAGTTCAGTATCCTGCCTAGGGAGCGGGGTAAATATGTATGTGTACACGCACTGTAATATACTCATTTTTTAAAATGGAGTTAATTGACATGTTTTCTTCATGGTTAAATAGAATCAACTAATACAGTAAAAACTAATTTTGGAAAGCATTCTTTCAGTGTTAAAGAATCCACGTTGAGTGAAGGAAGGGGAGATTCTGGTTAATCTGAATCTCTTATTGCTTTTTTTTTTACTGGAGAAAAAATCTTTTGGCATACAGTTTTTTCTTTAAGTCTTTTTTTTCATTTTTGTTTTTCCAACACACTGGCAAAATCTATAGGATTTTATTATCATTTTCTAGAATTATCAGAATGGTATGTGTTTGTGTAAAGTATCATGTTTTGTTCTTAAAAATGATTATCTTTAAAGCAAGAAGTTTACTTTTCTAAAAGAAGAGAAGGATTTCTGGCAGCTCTAGGCATAAAATATTTCCTCCACTTTTCTGCCTGTTTTAGTTTTTAGAAATCTTCAGACGACTTATTTGATCTCTGCCTTTGGCTAAATGCTGGTATCTTAATGCAGCAGTGGTGTTCAGGGAGATGGAAGATAGAAGAAACCCAAGGGACGTGGTCTAAAGTGGATTTCTGAATCCAAGAAAGGACATGGATATTTATAAAGCAGGCAGATATGTTTTAGTTTTCCATCCTGATGTTAGAAATCTCTTGCCCTTTTAAAATAAAAACCAACATTTGTTTGATTTTAGGTTCATTTAAAATCAGTTTGATTTTAACCTCAAATGTCTTCTCTTTAAACTTTTTAATTTTAAGTGACTATTATATAAACATTCAAGCATCAGATTTTCAGTTCTTCTCAAAAGCTTACTGGCTCTTTATATTTAGTGTTAGCAGATTCGATTCTAAGCTGTTTCAGAATTTAGAACTCATACTGAAATTGCAAGTTAGGTTAGAAATGAGTTTGTTGAATTGCTGTTTCAAGTGGAAAACCTTTACTGCTGGATTCTGAAAAATAGTTTTTATCATACATATTTCATATTTGTTAAAATGGTACAGATGTAAAAAAAATTACCTTTTTTCATATCTGCTAGAGAGTGTAACCTATTCAGATTTGCAGTTTGCTTATGAATTTTTTGTTCAGTAAATATGGGAATCTTAAAGACTTATATAGAAAATTGATGTTAAATCAATGGATTTTACTTTCTTAAGATCAAAGGAGCTGGGCCTTTTTAATTTTTTGCTCTGATAGAGGTTCACTTTGTAAAAAGAAAATACCTATTTAAATTTTTTGGTAATGGCTAACCAATGTAGTTTTGTTTGTTTGCTTGTTTTGGTACTGGGGGCTGAACCAAGGGGTGGTTAACCACTGAGCCACATATCTAGCCCTTTATATATTTTATTTAGAGAGAGGGTCTCACTAAGTTGCTTAAGGCTTCTCTAAGTTGTTGAGACTGGCTTTGAACCTGCTATCTTCCTGCCTCAGCCTCCGAGTTGCAGGGATTACAGGCATGTGCCAGTAGGCCTGGCCAATCTGTTTTTTGTTTTGTTTTTTTTAATGATTGCAAAGACAGTTCTTTTAATAAGATCTTTTTAAAGTAGATATTTTCATTGTTTTCCTAGTTCCAAATTTGGATTTTATTAGACAGTGTTTTTAAGCATTAGAATATCTGTTAATATCTGAGTCCAACAAAAGTGGAAACAAAGTAGATCAGTAATTTTTAAGAAAAATAAAAAGTGTCCTCCCCCACCTGATGCTTTTTTAATAGCAGTTTTCTTTCCAGTTTATCTTGTCTTCAGGGAAACCTAAGATTTCTTCCAGGTATCAGCTCTTTTATTCTCACATTCATTTTCTGTACTGCCATTTGTTCATTTTGGTTTTTGTTTTGTTTATGTGCATGTATTGGGTGAGGGGGGACAATAGGTTCATAGTTCCAGTCTTCAGTGGTGCGATTACTTTCTGCATGATACATTGGGAGTTTATCAGTGCAGCATTTAATAACATTTAGTTTAAATACCAAACCAACTAGTTCAGAATGAGAAAACAGTATATTTTTAGACTCAAATACTTTGAATAGCTCATTTAACTTAATATGGTATAAGACTAGTATCAGAGGACTTATTTAGAGATTATATCAGAGGAATACTGTTAGAGATTGTATTGGAAATTATTTCATAGTAAATTTTAAAATAAGATTATACTGTTTTATTTGTAAATGAGTTATATGTTTTAATGCAGTAATTTCAGTGAAGATATGTTTTTTCCTTATAGACATAAAAAGCAATTATAAGTGAACTAGTGTTCCACTTTAGTAAGAATATTATCTTATACCAGAATGGATAATTGAATTTTTAAATTTATTCTTGTATTTTTTATAGTGGGGTTAATTTTTATTTATTTATTTATTTTTTGAGTTGTAGATGGACACAATACCTTTATTTTATTTATTTTTATGTGGTGCTGAGGATCGAACCCAGTCCCTCGCGCATGCCAGGCTAGCGCTCTACTGCTGAGACACAGTCCCAGCCCAATAGTGGGGTTCATTTTGACATAATCATAAATGCATGTAACATGGCTTGCGCATTCTCATTCAGTCCACAGAACCTCCTTTTCCCTCTCCTCCCTCCCCCTTGATTCCCTTCCTCTACTCTACTGGTCTTCCATTTATTTATTATTTTTTACATTGGTCCATTATAGTTAATACATAAAAATGGAATTCATTATGATGTACTCATAGATGCAATATAGGATAAGTTAATCGATTTTGTTCTGCATTTGCTCCCTTTACTCATTCCTCCTCCCTTCCCCTGGATCTACTCCACTGTTCTACTTTTTGTTTTCCTGATATCCTGCTCTCTCTCCACCTTTTTTTCCTTTAATTTCTTTCTAGCTTCCATGACTATTTGAATTTTTCATGATCCTGTTGACTCTTACCCAGAATTCTATCTGGGTAAGAGTTTTGGAAAAGGTTTACTTTAAGCCTTATTGCTTGATAAATTCGTTTTTTAAGTCTTTTATAATGACTTTTCATTTGTACTTGAATAATGTATCTCATTATTTCAAAAATTGGGAAAACTTGAATTTTCATACCACAAATGCATTGTCTATCTCTTTGAAATTGAAAATTCAAGTGACACAGGCTTCCAGATGGTAGAATGATTTTGGAAACAGTTTACTCAGCTTTTTAGGTTTATTTGAAAATTTTACACAGTGACTTTGTAGAAAATATCTTAATTTCATTGACTTTGTGTTTCTGTATCATAACAGATTTGTGAAATAAATTATTGACAAACCAGAATTTATTGTTATATGAACAGATTTTGGAAGGCTTAAGGATGGGAGAAGTGTGGTACTGTGATCTTTTTAAAAAGTGTTCATAAGTCATTTTGTGATTTTATTTTTGCATAATTTGTCTATTTCAGGTTGAGGAAAACTAAATATTTATTAAATGCATATTGTAATTATTTTCCAGATCCTAGAAATACTGTAGATTCTTCTTATGGCTATAAATGAGTCATTTGACCTTTCATAGTTTGAGTGACAAGGGGCATCATGATAGGATTAAAAAGTTTAATTTGAAAATCTATGTTTGTCTTACTGTTTAGTTCATTAAACTTAGTAAGAAAGCACTTAATTTCTTCCTGAAAAGAAACTAATGGTCTTTTAATACCTTATAGGATTATTTACTTAGAAGATTAAATTCAGATAATGAATATAAAAGTACTTTGAAAATTGTAAAGTGATTTGCAGATAAAACTGATTACTGCTATTTGTATCTGCCATGCTTTTACAAGTAAGGACATAATAGCTATATGTCATGATGACCTTTCCCACATTAAAATCTTTGAAGCTCATTGGTAAATCATACTCCGTGCTATTTAGCAATTTCCAGACCTGAAAAAAGAAACAAAAATAAAATTCTCATCTTTTAAAAATGATAGTAGCCTTAAATTCAACAAATTGTTACTAGACTCCTCATCCAGAGACCTGACGGCAAACCGGGGTTCCAACAAACCAGGTTCAGTCACTATAAACACCAAACAGAAAAGGTAATGATGAAAAGCAGGAAAACAAATGTGAATCAGTAAGGCTCTATGGGGAAGGCAAGTGAGATCTAGCATCTCAGCCCTGACTTCTAGGCGCTGATAAGGGCTTTAGGTTCAAATCGAAGAAGAATTGGGACAGGGCAGATTAATGCATAATTAAGCAGTCTTGGTCAGATGGTGGTCTGGTTATCATTCTCTCAGTTCTGGTTCTGTGAGTGGCTCCAGAGAAGTTCTTTGTCACTTGAGGGGAGCAATTTCCAACTGTTGCTCAGGATGTTTACTTCTCAGACCTGTGTTCCTGGAAGAAGGCAGTGACTTGAGACTTTTAGGCACCATTCCAAGAGTCTGATGCAGCAAAAGCTGACAGTCAGATGTTCTTTCAAGTCTTGTGTTGGTCTTGACGGGTTAGGTAAATTTGGAGCTAATAAACCTTGTATTACCGATTTTTAAATGAACATTCCTTAGATGATTAGCATGTCTATGTGCAGAGCTGAGCAAGAATCTGAAGACAAATACAAAATGAAGACATAGATGCCAAGCTTAATCCTGCTTTGGTCACTAGCAGGCCTAAGTAAAGAGTCAGTGCTTTTAGCAAAAGTGGTATCTCTAAGTTACTCTTAAACACTACTATGCAAGAGCAGTGGCTTTTAGGGAAAGTTTAAGAAGCAGTCCAGAAGTACTTATCCAGTAAACTCTGCTGTGTGCCAGGCAGTATGGCTAGCCTCAGAGAGGGATGTAAAGAAGTGCCATTGTTTTCTTGTAGAACTTTATACTCTCCAGATGTTTTATGTGGAAAAATTCTATGATTATCT